TTATAATTGACATATTTAATACCAGGTGAAATAGACCACATGATACATAAATAATCTTCTAGGGGGGAGACCAGCAAATAAAATCGGGTTTTAATGTCTTACTCCATTTCATTTCATCTAAATCAATGTTTTTATTGATCTGTTTTTAAATTACTACCCCCACCCCCTCTATCACATATAGCTTATCTGAATTAATGTGACCTTATATTGCTAGGCATTTGTAAAATCAAAAAGAATTGAATTTGATATCGACTAGTTATGCATCAAATTATAATACCGGTAGATGATCTTGAAGAACAAATCTTCAATCTGATGTGGCCTAATAGCTAGGCATTTACAAATCGAAAAGAATTAAATTGGATATGTCAACTTATTTTGCATGAACCAATTACGTATAATTATAGCATCTCACTTTACCGAATGCCTAAAGCTTAGCTGACTCACTAGACTGGAGGTCTCTGGTTCACTCCTGATGTTTGCAGAGAAATTTCCTGTGTGGTTTACTCATGTCAGTGGTGCAGAACGGAGGGACTGACAAGGAAAGCTGTCTAGATGATTGGTGCATACAAATAACGGAGGTCCTGTGTACACAATTGCATGCATGTAAACATAACCCTTGGCAGTTGGAATTCAATGTAAGTGTAGGCCGCAGCACCAATGTCCAAACCAAATTTCCTTTGTAGGACACTGCATGGCATATGCCCGTCTTCATTAGCCCAGTCGGTGCAGAAAAGTAGGATGTTAAACCCTAATCATTTCAGTTTTGTAAGGAGTGCAATAGTTAAAGACTATGAATGTCACATCATTTTCTAATTCCTGATTGTATATTTTGCATAAAGTACAACGGTTAAAGACCAAAATGTTCTGACTCTTTCTGTGATGGGAGCTGCAGTGGCTCAGTGAGTAAGACACAGCGCTCGATAACTAGGACGTCTCAGTTTCATTCTCGGTGTTGATCGAGACAGTTTTTCCAGAGGGGTTGGCAGAGGAACAGTGCACATAAAAGAACCCTTGATATCTGGAATTCGGAGTAGGCTGTAGCGTCAATGTCTGGGCAGGTAGCACACATGATAACTATATGATTTTATTATCATCATTATCAGATTTGAATATTTTTATCAATATGATGTCATCTTGTAATTGTTCTGGCCTATATATGTTAAACTTTTACTGTATTCAATGCAGAAATTTAAAGCAACAAATTAAATAACCATCTCGAGGAACAAATTGAAAATCCTTTAGTCATATTATTCTATACTCTTCAAAAAAAGTAGGGGATATTCAGAAACAATACAAAACTGTGGAAATGTACTGCTGTTTTTATTAGAGGTAACCAGTGTATGTTAATAACAGGCCAACTGCCTACACATGAACATAAACAGTTCATATGGGCGGCTTATCTGACGGCCCCATTTCACTCGCAAAGAGATACACCATTAAAAGTGAAAATGGACTTGAAGTGTCAAATTTGACAATGAACCCCTCCCACGTGTATGGCGCTATTGCGTGTCGCATGTGCAGCTCAGTGGTTCTGTTGGGGCGGTAAGTTCAAAGCATGTCAAGTGTCCATGACAACCTGCATAGGTATTTGCATTTCAATATCCCCTACTTTTTTTTGAAGAGTATATTTCAAGCAAAAAATTAACAACTCTTTATAAAAATGCTACAATTTCGAGCAACATTTGACAATGAACCCCTCCCACGTGTATGGCGCTATTGCGTGTTGCATGGGCAGCTCAGTGGTTCTGCTGGGGCGGTAAGTTCAAAGCATGTCAAGTGTCCATGACAACCTGCATAGGTATTTGCATTTCAATATCCCCTACTTTTTTTTGAAGAGTATATTTCAAGCAAAAAATTAACAACTCTTTATAAAAATGCTACAATTTCGAGCAACAAATCAAAAATCCTTCAATAATATCATAATATTTCCAGAAAAGAAATTGAAAGCTTTTAATAAAATCTTACTGAAAATCTTAATAAAATCGTACTATTTCGACCAACAACTTCAAAATCCTTTTATAATATCATACTATTTTGGGAATTTTATTTCAGTCTTTATAGCTGTGGGAGGAAACTGAAGGACAGTAAATACTGAGTGGAATTGAACCATTTTTGAACTGATATGCCTATTAGAGATTTATATTTATAAAAATATCACAGGATTCCTATATCACTCTCAGAGACTTTATATCTTTCTATTAGAAATACTAGAACCGTAATAAACATACTGATGAACACCATAACTTGACACATTGTTTAATTTGAGCAGCCTAATACCAGGTAAATCATATTCAACTTTCAAAAGAGACATTAGGATATTATAGGTCTAATACCAGGCAGGGCTGGGGCCATTACACTGCCAATGTAATTAATTACATTACCATTACTTTTTAAATGTAATCATTACAATTACTTTCTCATTTTTAGCAATGTAATTAATTACCATTACCCATTACATTGAAAGTAATCAATTACCATTACCAAAACTTTATGACTATATAAATAAAAAAACATTTTTCACAGAAATTAATCAAAAGACAACCTTATTTTTCTGCCATGAAGCGCCTACAAAATCAAACTCAAAATATTCCTTGATTCATTTATATTTGTTTATGAATTGTCATTTCTAGTAATTATACATCAAGTCAAATTTTATAGTGACGGGTAGTGGTGTCAAAAACTAATATTTTCAAAGTATGACTTGAAAAATGAATCAAAAGTATAGTTAATTAACTGTATTTTCTTATAAGTAACTTTTTAAAAATTTTAATCAATCAAAATATACCAAGCAGGAAAATAAACGTCAGGTTGGTATGTTACTCTGAATGGACGTAATGCATAAAACTTGCCAAATGTTTTTATTGTATATTTGCGACCACATCTCCAACTTGAGCAATAAGGCTCCTTCCCAAACACATAATTAAACCCAGGAAATGTTCTCAAAAACGCAACCTGACTTCTGAGATGGTAATGTGTTCTCCATGATTTTCATGTAACTCACACTACAATGTCAGAGGCATGTCACAACACATGACGGCTCAGAGGAACCAGGCGCTTGTAAGACTCGACACTGGCCACACTACCCAAGCCGTTGCCAATCACTTCCAGGACAATGTTCAGACCGCCATGTTGTGTGACAGCTTGTTCAGAATCCCTTCACATTGGCATCTGAGACAGCACATCATGCAGACAGTCGGAACACATGAAAGACCCATCAGTACCGATACAGTGCGGCGACGTCTCACCAGAGAGAACATCCATTGCCATAGACCGATCCTCACCCCTTGCCATCAGCGTGAACGTCTACAGTTTGCCCAACATCGCCAGAACTGGCGACACATGCAATGGAGAACTGTTCTGTTCACAGATGAGAGTCGGTATTGCGTATCAACTGCAGATAGCAGGGCCAGAATATGCCGTTGACGTGGCCAGCGTTATTCTGACCAATAGCCTACACCACAAACGGTTGGGCTATTATATGTTATTATCTTACACATGGAACAAGTGTGCTGGAACAAGTGTGCAACAAAGTCTTAATAAGATTGGTGTTGAAAAGTTAGTGCATATCTTAGAATACTCCATGTCCTTAACTTTCATCAGCTTGTAATTTTAGATTTAACACAATTTGATCTTCATCAGCTTGCAGTAATTATAGATTTAACACAATTTGACCTTCGCATGGTAATCTTAAATATAACACGATTTGACCATAACCGGATGGTAATTTTAATAACCTGATCTGCCTTTATACAATTACATTGGGAATGTTCTTGTAACAAGAATAACACTTAAAGGGCATATGGCACTATTTTTTGGAACCTTGAAATAGAGGAAAATGATTTTAAAAGCACATATATAATGTAATATGAATGTATGTAAAGTTTTTTATATTCAATTTTTGAAAAAAAATATTGTAATTTCTAATCAATTATGTTCGATGAAATACGTTCTATACTTTTTTTTTTAATCATTATTTTATGGTTTGTGAATCAACCATTACTAATTACTTCTAATTGTCTTCTAGGATATGTCTTTATTTGTTCATTACAAAATGGCACTCGAAACAGTAGAATATAATCATGTACTGATTATAATATTATGTTAATTGTGTCATAAATAATGGATATCAGGATCCTATATTTTCACGGTAAGATAACATCATCAAAATTGACCAAAATTGAATTAGACATTTTGTTCTTTTAGCCAGAGCCAGAATAGAACAGCTTAGGTTTTACAGTCTGACTGATGAATCTAGAATATACAGAATTCACCTAGAATCAGTATCTTGTTATAATAAAAAGTTGGCCATACAAATAATCTTATCATTAATAAACTCAAGATTTGAACAGTCTACCTTAATTAGAACCATTAAAGTTATTGTGTTCCAAAGGTGTGACATATGGACGGACAGATTTTAATAATTCCCTACTTCAGCAATCTCCAAAAATTATTTTCATACTCTTTATATTATACTTTAGTTCAATTTTTCCTTTATTCTGAGTCCCTGACTAAATAATTTACTCGGCAATGCAATGATGTCATTAATTTACTGCTAAAAATATATATTGTGTATTATCAAGATAACTCTCGTCATCCTCCACGCCCAAATGGTTTTAAAAAGCCAGGAATATACCAAGCCATGATTGAGCACTATATGATCCTAAACATATATTGACAAAAGGCAGATATGTCTAAAAGCTTCAAAATAAGACAAACAAAGACCAAATCAGATTTTGGACAGGAATAAATTTGTTCAGGGAGCATTAATTACATTTAATACCTTGTTTAAGTAATCACGTTAAGGCTTCTCTTTCAATAACAAAATGTCGCCCGGAAACTTGATGTGTTGTCACGGATATAGATATGTTCAAAATAGACCAGATCAATATGGTGATTAAACATAAGAATACAGAAACAAATTTCATTTATAGAGATAAAGCCTCGACTCATTTGTTTTTATCTATTTTAGTCCAATTTTTTTTCTTTTTGGTACATTTCAGGAACCATCCATTAACTTGATGAACGATACAGACGCAATGCGTAAAATGAAAACAAGGTGGGTCGTAAATTTATTCGTATTATTATAGTGTTCTCGGTGGTCAAATCACCCTGACAAAATGACCACAAAAGGGTTTCAGTTCCAATGATTTATTCCACCATGCTATCAAATTTAGGAATGGGGTGTGGGGGTCTACTGGTTTAATGTGTGCACATGAAATCATAAGGTCTGTCATTGAGTCAATTGGCGTGCCCCGACTGGGCTATTAATGAAGACAGGCATACGCCATACATTGTGTCCTGACAGTGGCGCTATAGCCTACTCTTATTTCTAATTCCAACTGCAAATGGATCTTTTATGTGCACGCCAATGTGTACACAGGACCTTTGTTTTTCATCCCATCCAAACAACTAGACAGCTGTCCTTGTCAGGCTCTTCATCCTGCACTACTGACAAAGGGAAACCAGCATCTTACTCACTTAGTCATCGTGGCTCCCGCATGGCATATATGTCATTCTTCATCGGCCTGGTTGGTATGAAACAGGACATTCAACCCAGTAGCATACAGAGGTTTAGTGATGCTTGGGGTAGACTCTTTGATTGTGGGCCTTAAGACTTGTGTATAGGGCCTAGTACTGAGACATTTAACAAGGGAAGACATTTTAAATTTGTCAAAACAGATGATATGAACATTTTATTCAATAAAATTTGTATTCAGTTGAGTAGGGCAGCTTGTACTACAAAGTTAACAGTGATAAATTATTTAAAAAACTTTGATCGTGTAGTGCGCTTCTCCTGCACTTATTATTTAGGTGCTTTATCACTCACCATAATCATTTCCTTTATATAAAGTTTGAGTAATGGTTAAACACCCCATCATGGTCCCTTTTTATTAATTAGGTTGTCACTCAATTGTATATAACTCTCAGTGGTGCAGGACAGAGGGCGTGGCAATGGACAACATACATGTATAGTTGTTCAGATGGGACAGAAAACCGGAGGTTCTGTGAACACAATAGCGTACACGTAAAAGAACCCATGGCAGGCTGTAGCGCTGCTGTCTGGGTAAAATTTCCCGAACAGCACAGTGTACATAGCATATGCCCTTCTTCATTAACACAGAACAGTTGCATGGACATTAAACCGTATTTCATTTCATTTCAACTCTCTGTAATACGTATATAGATTGTATCATTGCTTGATAATGATGAGAACACCCACACTGAAACATTGCAATTAATAAACTTAGTGAATGATATGCATAACAGCGTCTATTATCATAAAACGATGCAGTTAATAAGCTTAGTGAATGATATCCATAAAGGTATCTTTTTATTTTAAAACAATGCAGTTAATAAACTTAGAGAACAATATCCATAAAGGTATCTTTTTATTATAAAACGTTACAGTTAATAAACATAGAGAACAATATCCATAAAGGTATCTTTTTATTATAAAACGTTACAGTTAATAAACTTAGAGAACGATATCCATAAAGGTATCTTTTATTATAAAATGTTGCAGTTAATAAACTTAAGGAAGATGTCCATAAAGGTATCTTTTATCATAAAACGTTACAGTTAATAAACTTAGAGAACGATATCCATAAAGGTATCTTTTATTATAAAATGTTGCAGTTAATAAACTTAAAGAAAACTGTCCATAAAGGTATCTTTTATTATAAAACGTTACAGTTAATAAACTTAGAGAATGATATCCATAAAAGGGTCCCTTTTCACTTTCAAAATCTTTCAAGCTTATTAATCGGCGTGAATGATATCCATAAAGGTGTCTGTATTATAAAACATTAAGTCCTTTATTTTGAAAAGCAGCCATGTACATGTACTTCAAGAAAAACAAAAATCTTTAAAACTGATTAATCTATGTGTTTCCGGCGTAAGAAAAAAAAATTGTCGATCATTTAACCTTTACAGTGGAGGATACTGGCTTTTGTAATATTGATATTATATTGATATTTTTATATAAGGAATTTACTGTTATACGAGATAGCGCTATTATTTATCTTGAGGCTATATTGATCATATAACACTATAATATAGGCCAATCCAATTTAATTACAGTTCTTCGTGTTCTTGGTAAATAAAAAGTCATGTGAATCGTGTGAAAGATGTACTGTTTAACTCTTTGAAGTTTGAACACATATGACGGAATAGGTTTTTTTTTGGAAAAATCTAGTTTTTCAATCATTCTTCAGGGAAGTCGTCATAAGCCATGAGATTCGAATATTAGGTGCTTGAAAACCTATAATGTGGATCAGTAAGTTTGTCTTTTATAAATTTCAAACATCAAAGTTAAACCTCATCTTCATTACCCCGGTCAGAGTTGAATAGTAGGACGTTAAACACCATTTCATTTTATTTATAACAGCTTGCTATCTGCCAGTGGGAGGTTGTGTTTCACAACATGTGACTAAGCTGATAGTACTGACTCCACGGCAGTACAATGGGAGGTTGTGTTTCACAAAATGTGACTAAGCCAAGAGTACTGAGTTGCCGGCAGTACAATGGGAGGCTGTGTTTCACAACATGTGACTAAGCTGATAGTACTGACTTGCCGGCCGTATGTACAATGGGAGGCTGTGTTTCACAACATGTGATTAAGCCAATAGCACTGACTTGCCGGCAGTACAATGGGAGGTTGTGTTTCACAACATGTGATTAAGCCGATAGTACTGACTTGAAAAGAGTAAAATGTCAAAACATAAAAAATGGGGATTAAAATGTTTTAAAGAGTGCAAGCAAGTAATTTTGAACAGTGCAACCAAGTACTTTTGGTTTATAAATTTTTCACCAAGAAATAAGAAGCTTAATTTAAACAGGTGTTCTATAAGAACCAAAAATCAAATTTGTCATGGCCTATACAATGGAGTAAAAACATTTTGTAATAGAATTTACGCGAGGCAGGAACAATGGTCTGAAGGAAACAGAGGGAAAGGTAGCTAATATTGACAGGAACCGGCAACTATCAACGTTTTTGTTTGAACAACACTTTGCTCATTTCTAATTGACAACAGTCAACCACAAAAAGAACAATTCGATCACAAATATTGGCTTTGTCGCTATGTGCTACATAAGTTTTTTTAATTTGTACAAAGATTACGAAATACATCAATATCACCAGCACGGACATGTTTGTACCTTGGAATCAATGTTCCTGGTAATTAATAAAAGAGATAATGATTCCATTCCAAATAGCTTACACAGACAGTTTTGCATCAATATACCATACATAGGTTTTTTTTATCAATCCTTTTCAAAATTTTAAAGGTGCGGCATTGTAGTCATGGACATAGTAAGTGAATCCACAAATGATTCTATTCCAAATACTTGTACCTTACACAGGATGTTAATATTCATATATAAATATGTGAATCATCACATCGTTATGGGTACCATAAGTAGCAATTTGGCCATGAAGTTTTTTTTGTGATGATCTGAGAGTCAACCAAAATTTACATACATTTTTTATGAGTGCTAGCACAATACAGGGCTAGCACATATACCACCTCAAATTTTGTACACAAGACAGTTCCATTTATATTCTTGCTTGGGATCATGGTGGCTAAGTGGGTAAGACGCTGGCTCGCTAGCCTGAAGGTCGGGTGTTTGATCCCATGCATTGGTTAAAAAAGTTCATCCCGATTTTCCGGCGTGGTTCTCCTTGTCAGTGATGCAGGACGGAGGGCCTGACAAGGAAAGCTGTCTAGTCATTCCGATGGGGACGAAAAACCGAGGTCCTGTGTACACATTGGAGTGCACATAAATGATCCCTTGACAATTGGAATTCGATATAAGAGTAGGCCATAGCACACTGTATGGCATACTATTAAATAGCAATAGTTCGTTCACACTTTAATCCTTTACACTTTTCAAAATCATTGGGGGATGAGTGGGGTCGGTTGCATTGTGTTGGATGTGGGGGGTGGGTGCTGGTGGATGGGGTGGGGGGCATGATGGTCGTGTGATTAGTAGATAGGAAAGTGGACTCAAAACTGGAAAAAAACATTTAGGATATTTCAAGCCAGGATCTCTGATTTAATGTTGATGATCGTCATTCGCATTGTCCAATAAGCTAAAATGTAATCATTATTTAACATTCAATCTCCTCGATTGGATTTTTAAAAAGAGGTCCATCAAAAGATAAAATTAATGGTGGCACTGGCTTGTATTGGTAAAAATGGCATAAATGTTCAGTTCATCATAACTTTGTAAATATTGAGTGGAATTTGACCATTTTCAGACTGACATTCCTTTTAGAGATTCAACTTTCACAATATTGTAGTTTACAAGATTCAAAATCCCTCGAACGACAATCAGAGACTTTAAAGGGAGAATGTGCAAGAGTACGAGAGGTGTTTCCATTTGTTCTGATTGGGCTAATATATGATTCAATTTTATTTCAATAATTCACTTGCTCTTAGGGGTCTTTAAATAGCTGTGGGAGAAAAATGGGACATTTTCCTGGGACCAAACATTTAGGGGTCCCCACAATTTAGACTAAGTTGAAAATATGAAAGTCATTCTTTGGGCCCTTATTGATACACAATCAGGGGTCCCCATTTTTACTCCTGACTGTTGCATTCACTAGGGATCTGTGGGTAATATGGTTTCATTTGGTAAACATCAGGACACATGATATCATTTATACATATTTTCTGGGGGTCTTCGCTTTTAATCTTATTTCCGCCAGTCAGACCCCCCACCCCCACCCCACATTGACTTTTCCTAAGCCCAGGAAATAGTGTCAATAAACTTACATTAGTTTTAAAATTTAATGGTTTCAACAGAACATATTACTAGATAATTTTTTATGTATAGCTATAATGTTCTGGATATCTCAGATTACCACAAAACTAACAATTAATGATCCCATAAAGTAGTTGACTCATCGCGTTATCAATCAGTGAGCTAATTTATTGAAATAAATTTAAGCATGTAGGCTACCATATATGTCAGTCCCAAAATGGATACTAAACTCTTTGCCTCTCTTCTCCTCTCTTGTTAATGCAAACAACGAATACAATGTCTAAAAGATTTTTTCTAGAGTATTTACAAAACGAATACAAATGTCTAAAAGATTTTCTCTAGAGTGTTCACAAGACAGACGGACGACATGATGCATCAAGTGGGTTCAGATAGTGCCATAGATAATATATACTTACCTCTTTTCTGTTTTGTTTCTGTTTCCCGATGTGATTAATTCTATATTTCTGTCTTTTGTTGATCCATGTGATTAATTCTATATTTCTCTATTTTGTTGATTTGTGTGATTAATTCTATATTTTTTTGATTCGTGTGATTAATTCTATATTTCTGTATTTTGTTGATTCATGTGATTAATTCTATATTTCTGTATTTTGTTGATTCATGTGATTAATTCTATATTTCTGTATTTTGTTGATTCATGTGATTAATTCTATATTTCTGTATTTTGTAGATTCATGACGGCATGAACGTAGGTGGACTTACCCATGTCCAGTCAGAAAATCAGGAGAATGCTTCTGTTAGTGGTGACATGTACAACAATCCACCAGGTCTAGAAACCACCACAAACAACAACCATCGCGTTAATGGCACTATCTTATCTCGGACGTCGTCCAACAACTCACAACCATCGCGTAAACCAATAGGACAAGCCTGGAGATTCCCGACATCCCCGGAAAACCATCAGCCTACAAAAGAAGAATTTTATCAATCGTACGATCCCAAAATTGGTCTGCACACGGCTGCCGTTTTGGGCGGTATACTGGTGTGGTTAATCGTGTATCTAGTGTATCGCACCAAATGTAAAAAAGCCATCATCCGATTTTTCAAAACTGTGTCTGAACAACGTAAACAGAAGCGGAGTCGAGCATCTTTCGTTAACCTGAGCAAACATTCGAGTATGGGTGCCGATATTGACACGCCACCAAGTATAATCGTAACGAATGATAAAAATGAAACTGTGAGTAATCATGTAATTGTTAAGATTCCCGTTGAGACACCAACATCTGTCCATAAACACGATGCCGCTCATGCTGACAATCAAATAAGGGAGGCAATTCAGAAACTCCCAAGTTTAGAAACAGATGTAACTATGGCAACAGCACAATGGGTGAAAGAGCAGCCTCTCTCAATCCAAAGTCTTCAGGAGTTACCTACGGATTTAATACGATCTAAAATCCCTACGTTCTGTCCACCTGTTCGCGATCCGCGATTAGTGAAATCTGCATGTGGTTTAGATCACACATGGAATAAAAGTTTGCCATCACTCTCACAGAATATCGAAGTGAATAGTTATTATTCCTCCTCAGAAGCCATACATTCGTCAACACGAGGAAAAAAGTCTCCCTGTGAAAATCCCAGTAGTGACAGCGGTATTAAAAATAAATCAACACCCAAATTTTCTGAGGATTTGCGGACGACAAAACGGATCCTTCCGAAACTTACGATAACCATTCCAGATTCTATATCTACAAAGCCGTCTGGGACAAACCTGGACACGAAGACTCGCCTTAACGACACAAGGCCTATTCCTGTGACCCCTACTGTCAAAATTCAAAATTATACCTCAAAAAGATGTGCCCGATCTTCATCTTCCCTCCACAGACAGATCAGTAATGATTCCCTTAGCTCAAATTCTTCAGTCGAACCCTTGTTAAGTGAATGGGGCTCGACTCCAAATGTCGAAAATTGGCATAACAGGGGTTCCAAACATCAAATATGGCCAGCTGCGGAGAAACTGAAAGACCCTAAGAAATGGGAACAGAGTAGTGTTAGTTTATTAAGTGACGAGAATATGACCGAAACCGTTTTATAGCATTAGAAGGAAGTGTCTTAACCTCTTTGATTAAAATAAATATAAAAATCAAAGTGTTAATTTGATTGTGTTTGGGTCCAGGGCTCTTATTGCAGGCATATTTACCTGTTTTGACTGACTGGCAGTGAAATCGACTGGGTGGAGATCTTACCTGTCAGTCAATTTACATGCTACAAAGTTATAATTTCAAAGAATTGAACCTTAAAACACAATCAATACAGGTAAATTCATACTTCATATGTGTAAATATGCTTTAAAATATATTTAGAAAATGGGATAATGCTAAGAATCATCATATTTTTCATCAAAAAAGATCTTGCTAAAAAATGTGACTAAAATAGCTATAAATAGCTAACCTGAGTAATAGTCCTGCCCCATTAGCTAACCCCAGTAATAGTCAAGCTACCATTAGATACCCTCAGTAATAACTCTGCTGCCAATAGTTACCCTCAGTAATAGTCAAGCTATTATCAGCTACCCTCACTAATAGTCAAGCTATAATTAGCTACCCTCAGTAATAGCCCTGCTTCATTAGCTACCCTCAGTAATAGTCAAGCTATTATCAGCTACCCTCACTAATAGTCAAGCTATAATTAGCTACCCTCAGTAATAGCCCTGCTTCATTAGCTACCCTCAGTAATAGTCAAGCTATTATTAGCTACCCTCACTAATAGTCAAGCTATAATAAGCTACCCTCAGTAATAGCCCTGCTTCATTAGCTACCCTCAGTAATAGTCAAGCTACCATTAGCTAGACTCAGTATAGTCAAGCTATTATTAGCTACCCTCAGTAATAGTCCTGCTCCATTAGCTACCCCAGTAATAGTCAAGGTATCATTAGCTATCACCAGTAATAGCCCTGCTTCCATTAGCTACCCTCAGTAATAGTCAAGCTATTATTAGCTACTTTCACTAATAGTCACAAGCTACCATTAACTAACCTCAGTAATAGTCAAGATACCATAACTACCCTCAGTAATATCCTTTCTACCATTAGATAGCATCAGAATTACATCATAAGGTCTATTATTCCCTGCTTGTACATGACAAGGAGTAGAGAGAGAGAAATAGGGTTTAACATTCACTTGATACAAACTAGGTAATTTTGGGACTAGCATGGTTCAATTTCATTTCCATAATTCGCTTGCGCGAAGGGGTCTACAGACGTGGGAGGAAACCCACGTACAAGTGGGGAATCAAAACCATACAACTTGACTCAATGACAGACATTATGATCCAACACACACATGTTAAACATTCGGTCAATCCCCGCCACCCAACCCCCAATCAACAAGGAATAGGATCACCTGTCCAACCTCATTGGTTTTCTCTGGGTCCTTTGGTTGTTTCGCAGGTTGTTTTTGGACGTTAAATCCCATTTCTCTCTCTCCAAGATATCGTAGGCTGTACAAGATCAAAACAACACTTTATTTTCTATAAATCAAAGAGGTTTAACTTGTTAAGTTTTTAATGTTCTTTCCACCTATATTTCTCTATTTACTATAGTTATAATGTTTACGTTATTTATCATAGATATTATTGATATTCAATATAATCACATCCTATATTTCTTCACCCTCATGACAACAAGGTCCAGGTGATATCTTCTGTACACATATCTTTACATCGACTTTATGTTTAAAATAATTAAACTAGAATCTTCGAGACGGTGTGATCATTATTGTGTGAAAGATGTCTTAAAGGACATGTGGCTCTAACTCAATATTATCTATAAGGCAACTGTCACAGACTTTGTCAGACATAAATTATCACACAATGTCTTTTTTATAATATATTCTGTGATAATTTGTACTTGACAAAGTCTGTGACAGGTGCCATATGTCCAGGCATGGTTCTAACTCGATATTATCCATAATATTCAACAGTAGAACTAGACAGGTCTTAATAGGTGTGTATGGCTCTAACACAATATTATCCATAATATTCAACAGTAGAACTAGACAGGTCTTAATAGGCGTGTATGGCTCTGACTCGATATTATCCATAATATTCCATAGTAAAAACTCAAATTAGAATTCAACATACCTAATTAAAAATTACATGTACAATAAAAGTTTTAAAGATGCATTATGTAAGATTTTGATAAAGAGCTGACAGTCCTCGTAAAATAGTTCAAAAACAGATAATTAGAAATTAATATATTGAAAATTTCATTCAAATTACTTTATTCTGAGCCAAGTTAAGACTGTTTGACGATGTAGCGATGTCTTGATTATCCATTTTATCATTAACTTTTCAAATCTAGCTGGTGTTTTTATCCATTTAAATCTCAGCCATCCGGTGATCTAGAGAATTGATTAAAGGCGCTGTCACAAGAATAAATGTCTAAATAATAATTTATAGAATTTATTTAGACAAAGAAAGGCCTGCAGTAGGCAGATTTAGCTGTGACATAATGCATCTTTAAAAATTGAATATAAATCAAGTTTATATACATTCATATTACATTAATATGTATCATATAGTTGTTTGATATTTTGTACAGAATATAATAAAATATATTTTAAAAAGCCCTAAAAATTTTCTTTCAATTTTCAAGATCTTGCTTTCATCTGGTTTGTGACACGTTAAAAGGAAGTTTATATATATGGGCGTGATTCAGATGTGAGATCTCGAGTGCCACAACTCAAACTTCAATCCAACTTAAGTCACATCAATGTCCCGACTTTGACTCTACGTAAAATATTTATTGTAACTTAAAGATCTCACGACTCGATTTACGGTGAGGGGCATAACTCTAACTTACCTTATTTGGCATGAACTGGTGGCTCATTTAACGAACTGGCGACTTACTCCCTGTATATATAGTAATGTAAGGTAGTGAGCCTACTCATAGTTTTACATTTCGTGTTCACCTTTTTTAGCGAATGTTACCTACTTTATCAGATATTTAAGAATGCAAAAATGTTAATTATATCTATAAACATATTTCCACAAGAAGTGAACAAATTGGTGAATGGTATGTATAACAGCTCAAACAGCCTGTGTCATGTGAACATCCTAACAGCTCAAACAGCCAGAGCCATGTGAACAGCTAAGAACTATTCTATTTAAGGGCGATATTACAGGGCCTATGAAAACTTTGGACACTGCTACTCATAAAGCATAGTTTGTGCCTTTATCTAAAGGGAACAGAATTGATTAGGTCTCCTAATCCCTCAGCCGTCTCCAACCTACGCAAGCCGAGACTATCATTTGGCTCCTATTGCAAATTTCTCAGGAAACACTTGTCTGCATTATCACCCCAGGTGGAAGTGGGAAGAAGAAGAACAGTGATGGGGAGGGGGGAGCAAACCCCAGGGACCACATTCTGACTCGCTGTGCTGACAGCCCCCCCCCCCCCTTGCCAAAATGGATTTTTTTCCGACACGACCTGGAAGCAAACAATTAAAGGCCTTAGCCCAATGCAGAATATACTATACTCCCCCCCCCCTCCACACATCATACACCCACTGAGACAGAGTACAAGTGACATCAACATTCAAAAAGAAAGAGGTTTGTGAGATTATGTTAGGACGTCAATGGTAGTTTTCTCTGCAAATTGCTCCTATATTTCCGAGTCCCCTAACCCGAGGCAACTGTGAAAAAAGCACTGCAGGGACGTTTCCTGGGGGCCAGATCCCATCCAATCTGGTTAAAACACAGATCCTATTTCGTTTCGTTTTTATAGTTCAAAATTTCGTTTTACTTGTCTTTTACTACACTTGGATCTGGAAGAGTTAATTGTTATTTAACTCGTGTTCTGAATGGTGTCAGGGATAAGCCAATGAAACGGTCTGTCACGCCGAGCTTTAGGTGTGTTTTGCACGGAACTGTGGGTAATTCACTAGTAACATCAATGCTGATTGGTTAATCAAATGTCTGACATGATAGGGTCATAAGTCGGTCTTTTGACCCCTGACGTGACCTATCGCTATAACTTGTAAGATCTTCATGTAGTGTAGGCCATCGAAAGTATAAAAAGATAGGTTGCCAGGCAACGAAACATACGCCCACAGCAGCTAAATCGTCCGGCAGTCAACAAGAGTTGTCGCATATTTTTACTTTTTTCGGTAATGGAACATTTATAATACACTAAAATCTGATTAAGAGCAACAACTCAGAAAACCATTAGAATTTGTTTGGTTTTTATAAAGTTCTGCCCCATGCTAACGTTTTGTATACAAAACTTTTAATACTGTATCATGGATTTAGCTGTTCCAAGTCATAAAAATAAAATTCATTGAAAATCAATATACTTGTTCGCCTCAAGATCTTAAACTCTGTGTATCAATCTGAAGTCAATCGGATATTAACTTTGGCCTCTAGAGCGTCCACAAGATTTTTCAAAGTGATCAAGGGCCAAAACTTTGGCAGTAATTATCAGAAGTCTTTGCAAATCAATAGACTTCTCCGTCGCATGACCTTAAACACTGTGTATAAATTTAAAGTCGATCGGATATTAACTTTAGCCTTTAGAGCTTCCACAAGATTTTTCAAAGTGATCAAGGGCCATAACTCTTTCAGTAATTATCGTAAATTGCTGAAAATCAATAGGCTTCTTCGTCTCATGACCGGAAGTGATCAAGGGCCATAACTCTGGCAGTAATTACCGGAAATTGCTGAAAATCAATAGGATTCTTCGTCTCATGACCTTAAACACTGTATATAAATTTAAAGTCAATCGGATATTAACTTTAGCCTCTAGAGCGTCCACAAGCAATTGTGGACGCCGGACCGACGGACGGACGGGGGCGACGACAATATACGACCACATTTCAATGTGGGCGTATAAAAACGAAACGAAATATAGATCGGTACTTTAATCAGATTGGATCCCATCCTGCTGGTGCAGAGAATATTTTTTCTCTCCTACATTCATGGAAATAATGCAGCTTTCGCTCACTCCACTGTAATCCTACACCTAAATGAGCAGAAATATTGTCTCAAAGCTTCTGATTTTATCGAATTCGCTGGTAATTCACCCGACCTAACACCAAACTTGGCGTTGTCTCCACCTTGTCGCCCACTGTTCAAATTCCTAGACTCGACCCTGCACTGGACATGTATATTCAACCGATGTAGACAACATCTTTAGGAAAAGAGATCCAGTTTTTAGGTATGGGTATGGAAATTATACTATTGCTGTGTATAAAGGTGTATCCATTCATAAAATCTTACCTTACAAAGAAAAAAAATAGGATCAAAATATAATGAACACTATTCTCGTAGGTAAGTGATCACATGCGACATCCGTAATGTTGCTCTGAAAAATGTTACCTTGAATTCATATTACGAACTAAACATAGAAAACCTTATACATACAATATAATAATATATAGCTCTGTATACAATTTTTTATCAAGGTCAAGGAACCACACGTGGTACATACGGCGGGAAAGGGAAACTGAGCTAATGTACGGTTATAGAATTTTTCAGATATAAAATAAAGCCACTGGTCGTGATTTTTTTAAATTCCCTGCAAAATACAATATTATGAAAGTTGACTAGCGGTTGAAAATGGTTCAACTCCGTTTCAGTATTTACACACTAGGAGAGAGTGGGGGGGGGGGCTCTCCGGTTTATTTTACTGCTAATGACCCTGACGAATTACTGAAATATAAACTGTGCCATGTTAGTCCCAAAATGACAGGGTTTATGTTGAGTGGCTCACTAACCAGGATGTCCCAACAATTCCCGGGAATGTTTAGCGTGTCATCCCATTGTCAGTGGAACAGTGTCTAGTTGTTAGGATGGTACCGAAAATGCAAGGATGGATGTATATACTCAAATTCATTAAAAACGCAATGCCTAATTTGTGAAATATTCCTGGTAAACGTTTTCTTGGGCTTTCCTATCTTATGGCACATAGGTGAAACTTGTGATGGTTCTCTTTTTGTGGAGTTCTGGATTTGAACCCAATATCAGTTCTGGGTAATGAACTTTGTTCGTGCAAACGCAACACTTGTCTTTTTTCACGATTTTAAGCAATCCTATGTCACACGTTTCTCACGTGCATTCCCTGCACTCTGGCCCTTTAAATACAGATCAAAATTTCAACATTCATCACTTCGGAAAAATGCCACTCCTTTCACAAGAAAACAGGAACAGCGCTATTGGCATGCTGGATCAGGGGGCTTCACATTTAGCCGTCGCCAGGCACTTTAATGTCCACCCATCGACCATTGCTCGCCTCAGACACCGCTTTCCGCTACTCAAGATCGCCACATCCGATTACAGCATCTGCATATGAACGCTTTGCTCGTAACTGCGTGATGGAAAGGGGTCGTTTCGGGGAAGGTGGCGTCATGGTTTGGGCCGCTATCAACGTCAACTTCCGGTCCCAGTCCAAGGCAATCTCAACGCCCAACATTATGTTGATGCCATCCTTCGTCAGGTGTTGCTTCCATTGATGGCTTAACATGGCGTCCGTCGACAGATGGTTTTCCAGCATTACAACGCCCGACCCCATATGTTCGTGTTATGGATTGGCCCGCTATGTCTCCCGACATGAACCCGATCGAACACCTTTGGGATGAACTTGGACGACGGGTTCGAACTCAAGCCGTGCCACCACGAACTGTTGCAGAGTTGGCACAGGCACTCCAAAATCATTGGCAAACAATCCCACAGCGTGTAGTGAGACATCTGTGCCAGTCAATGCCAATGCGACTTCAGGCATGTGTAAGAGTTCAGGGTGGACATACCCGATATTGACTTCAGCTGACCCCTGCTTTGTTTCATGGTTCTCTGACTTTTTGGTTTTGTGCATTTGAAGTGAATTCTTTTATGAAATTATCCACAGATGCTTGTTATCTCGATTTTGTCAATTGTTATGTACATTTGTTAAAAGTTGTTGCAGTATACATATAGAGAGAAATGGGGTCTAACGTCCACTCGACACAAACAGGGTCATTTCGGGACTAACATATGGTTCAATTTTATTTCAATAATTCGCTTGTGCGTAGGGGTCTTTAGCAGTGGGAGGAAACCGGGGGACCCGGATCGAGAAAACTCGCGAGGTTGGACAGGCGACCCTACTCCTTGTCACGTACAAGCGGGGAATCGACCATGACGTGCACGTAAAAGAACCCTTGGCTGCTGGAAATTGGAGAAGAGGGGGCGGAAGCGCCACTATGTGGACATACCCCCCCCCCCCTCCCATAGCATACTGCATGCCGTATGTCCCTCTCCATTTGGCCGTTTGGTGCAGACCAGTAGGACGTTATAGCCCATTTTATTTCATTTCATAAATAAATGGCGTGTTCATAAGTAGTTTTATATTTGCAGGTTTGTTTTGTTTCTATAGTTTATAGTTTTTATATTTGTTGGAGAGGGATGGGGTGTCAGGGATGCATTTTGGCTATAGATAACCGTATGTGCCCGAACAATATGATAACTTGGATGTGTTTTCCTATCGGTTGCACTTTAAATGTGTGTAGCCCCACTTCGGGATTCTAATATACGCCATTGTGATATTTTGCAGTTACGACAACCCCGC